AACGAACTACGTCGCGCATGAAGTTGCCGCATGAACTGAAGCGCGACGTAATTCGTTGTCTTTTGCACATGCCATACATACAGTATTTTTTATAGTGCCTGTTATTTCCGCACTACTAGTGCGGTAAGGTAAGTCATAAAGGTGCTTTTCTCGCATTAGTGTGAGAAATAACTACTATTGCAATTTTTCGCTATAACTTCGAAACAAGCGACTTTAGGGCATATGTGTATTAAGACTTTTTGACTTAGAATGAGACAAAGAATACACAGTTTCAGTGTGGACATTATGTTGCGGGACACCCTGTATAACAGAATAATGAGACAAATCAATTAGTGTAAAGAAAAAAACAAATAATTATTTTGAGGACTGTCCTTAAAATTACAGTTTTTTTGTTGGTAACATTGGAGGACATAAAATCTGTCGAATAAAAGTCCTCATAATAGACCAAATACATATGAATATTATTTTGTATTTGGTACATTCTAAGGACATAAAAGAGATCAATTTAAAAGAATCATGTTTTCTAGCTTTATACTTTTTCATTTTTACTAGCATTAACACAAAGAAAATGAATGCTAAATCATATAATAATGCAATCTGTGTATTAATTCACTAAAACGTGTCCTCGAAATATATCTATATATTTGTGTTTTTTTCCAGTTTATATTTCTTAATCATCATTTCTACAAGAAAAACGAAAATGGATTATATTAAAAATAATTAATAGAAACATATAAACTGCAGGAAAACTAAGAGATTATTATATTATACAGGGTGGTCCTCGTAACGGTCGCCACGATTTTTAAGGCACTTACAATAATCTGACATAAAAAAGTCATAAACAGAAATTTATCAGTTTCAAACCGGCAACAAATTGCAATAATAAAAGGAAAAAGGGAGACTAAAGTTATCACCCAGTTGTAGGAGGCATTGGACGTCCTCAGGAATCTGGATCGAGGATTTTATTTTCGAGAGCCTCTATTTAATATTATTATTTATAAGAAGATAATGTTAAAAATATGAAGTATGTTAAATCACTTAAATTAAATAAAAAACAGGAAGACTTGGTTTAGTGGAACTTTAGTTAAATGTTGGAACATATAATTAATTAATAATTGCATTTTTAGCATTTTAATTTGAAAGAGAAGTTGAGAGATAAAAGAATTTATGGCCAATTGATGATATAAGATATTTTCTATCGTTATTTATTTCTATTCTTATCGTATCTCTCTCGTTCTTTATTTTTTCTAGTGCGATTATTTCAGTTCTTTTGTCACATCCAAGGATGTAGCCAAATCTACTGTCAAAATTGCTATAAAAGTTCTTACAAACTCGATGGCATCCACAATGAGTTTTAAAGGGCAGAACACAAAACAACCCTTTTATAAATTGAAGATATGGGAGGCCATACAAGGTGAGAGTTACTCATGATATATTTTTTATACAGGTTTAAATATTATGCAATCACCTGATTTAATTTCCTGACATAAAATAAACCAACATCAATGTGATCACATCAGAATAGGTATTTTTCTGAATTATGTTTTGTACTATTGATTTGAGTATGATTCCATATATCTGTTTCAGGTTCATTGTTGATCAAATTTGATGATACAGCACTTTTCGAAGCAGAAGAAACCATGAAAACATGGTTGGCCAATGCCCCATGGCGTAAACAAGATAATGAAACTTATGGGAAAAGGTGTGTAAAAAGAAAATTAGAAGTGAACACTGCAAAGTAGTTGGGCAAAATGTTTATGTTTCATAACTTTTTTTATTAGTTATTTCTAATATTTTTGATTAAGATAAGAGAAGAGAAGTTGTAATATTATACAATTATATATTTTTACTTTCAAACAATAATCATTTAATTTTTTATTTAATAAAACAAAGTTAGATTGTTTTCATCACACAGTGCATTACTAATTTTATAAAGTTGTAATAGCTTGGGTCATAAACATTTAGCAAAATGTTATTTTTCTGTCTTCATTCTCAGATTAGTATTAACTTACCGAGTTACACTTATTACGAGTAACTTTAAGTTAAATATAATTACTAATCTTTTATTTTCTCATATTTTTTGTTTATATATCGAGATAATATGCGGTCAATGTCTTAAACTTAATATTCTTTGTAAAATGTAGTAATATATATCAACATGTTCCTTTGTGTTGTCATGCCGTGCACGGCAAGGTTTGCTCTATTCTTGCCATAAATTTGCTGTCATGTCATGCACGGCAAGATTTGCTCTTTATTTGCGCAAAATGTGCATCACACTATTGCGACAAGCTTTGCCAGCAAAAGCTAAGCTTTTTGCGGACACACCTTGTCACAATTTTGCTGTAAAGGCATGCTCGGGTTTGCTGCAAACTTTGCGCAAAGTTTGCATCATTTTGCTTGCTGGGTAGTTATTTCTTTCAACTTTTAATTGAATTTTTACTTGTATTTTAGTAAAAAATGAGAAATATGAACTTTTTTCTTGTATTATATGTTGAAATAAATTAATATTTCTAATTGTCACTACTCATGTTCAATATAGTATTTGGTAAGATTAGATTTGTAATTTAATTTGTTGTTTAATTTTTATTAGTATAAGTTAATTTTGATCATATCTTATAAGTCAATTTTTACAAATGTTGGTTGAATTGCATTTACTAATAAAGGACAACAGAAACGATAATTTTTAATGTATTTTACGAATACTATTGAACACATAAGTAGTGAAATATAGATAAATTCATTTATCTTAATATACAGGGTGGTCCTCGTAAAGGTCGCCACGATTTTTAAGGCACTTACAATAATCTGGCATAAAAAAGTCATAAACAGAAATTTATCAGTTTCTAAATATAAAATAACTCAAAAAGTACTTAATGAAAAAATACTTTATTATAGTGTTTTGAAAAGCTCTCGAGATAAGCTACAAGAATATGCAATAAAAAGTAGGCAGTTTCATTTAAAAAATTGAAGGTGACCTTGCTTTTTTATGGAAAAAAATGTTTGGTCAATTTTTATTCTTGCAATTTGTTGCCGGTTAGAAACTGATAAATTTCTGTTTATGACTTTTTTATGTCAGATTATTGTAAGTGCCTTAAAAATCGTGGCGACCGTTACGAGGACCACCCTGTATATAATACACGAAAGAAATTTATGTTTTCTCCCTTCTGATAACTTAATAATGACCTAATTCTATATAGCTGCAATGAGGAAAAAGTATTCTATATTGAGTCGAAATCGAATCATTCTAAATCGATAATTCATCGAAAGTTGTGACATAAATCAATCGAAATCGATGAATATAACAATTAGTTTTCGATATATATTTTCGATGTCGACTCGACATCAATTCGATGAGTCATTTCTCGCTGGATTATCTTAGTTGACTTTCTGTATATAGTACAGTAGCATTGTGACTTATTTTTTTCTAATTTCATTTAATTTTATCTGGCTCTGCATATAGTACAGTAGCATTGTGAATTATTATAATTTGACGTTGCGATCATAAATACAATCAAGTACATCACATGTGAGGAAAATATTTATAAAATAAGACATAAATACTTTTCTCGTTACACTTGAAGATTGTATCTGTAATCGAAATGTTGAATTAGAATTACTCACAATGCTACTGTACTATATGCAAAGCTAGATATAGGCTGCGGTCGGGAAGATCTAGAAATGCTTCGAAGCGTTTGATTGACCAATCAGAACAAAAGAGTAGTGATTTATTTATTCTGATTGGTTAATGCAATGCTTCGAAACATTTCTAGCGTCTTCCAGACCGCAGCCATAATCAAGTGCAGCGCATATAAGAAAAGTATTTATAGAATAAGGCGAAGAGACATAAATATTTTTTTCGTTGCACTTGATGATTGTATCTGCGATCGCAACGTTGAAATTAGAATAGAATAAATCACAACGCTACTATACTATATACAGAATCAATTATGATGTATAAAATCTTTTATTATTACAGATTGGAGATCAAGAGAAAGGCGTGCGGGCGTCCGTCGACGGGAGCAGCAATTTCTCCATTTCTTTATATAAATTATCGGTCCTAATAAGTTATTACTGGGGAGGAAGCACAGGAGGGGAAGGAGAAGGAGAAGCAATCAACGATAAAAGATACTTTGTCAAAAATTATATATTTCTTGTTCAATACACATACAAATTATCGGTCCAAAGTTACTACTTGGGAGGAAGGACAGGAAGGGGAAGAAGCAATCAACAATAAAAGATAAAAGATACTTTGTCAAAAATTATATATTCTTGTTCAATATATATACATGAATAGTGATATACATGAATAGTGATCAATGACTTAAACTTTATAAGTTATAAACTTAATTTATAGAATTCCATTAATACGAGTGGAGAGAGAGAGAATTGACTAAAAGAACAAAAATCTTATAAACTAATTCTAAATTTAATCTTAATTCTAAATTGGAGTCAGCGCTTTGTAATTGTTCAATCAATCAACTTAATCTTCTTTTCTTCTTAAATGCCACGAAGAAAGAGTAAGGAGAGTTATCTCGATAGTGTAGAGAGGAAAAAAATTGGTCACGAAAAATGTTTCCTATGTGGCCAGGTTTGCCAAATGGAATAACTTGGATCATTTCGTCGCCATCTTAATCTGAATATTCGTATATATATAGTGTTACGTTTAGTTGTGGTAATAATTAGTAAGTAGTGTATCACCCAACACATTTACTAATCACTAACACAACTAAATGTAACACTATATATGTACGAATATTCAAGATGGCAACGAAATGGTCCAAGTTATTCCATTTGGCTAGCCTGGTCAGATACGGAACATTTTTCGTGACCATTTTGAATCTAGGTAGATAGCTCTCCTTACTCTTCCTTCATGATAAATGCCTTCGTATTTGCCTTCTGTTTCATTTTTCTTTCCTGAAATTTAAAAAATTATGCAATATATAAATAAAATTTAATTAAATTAGTCATTGAAGTCATTTTGATCATATAATATTGAACAAACAATATATAATTTTTTACAATGTACCTTTCATTATTGGTTTCCCCTTCTGCTCCCCCTTTTGCCTCTCCTTTCACCCCAGTAGTAACTGGGGGCCGACAATCTATATAGAAAGTCGAGGAACTGTTGCTCCCGTCCGCGGACGTCCCCTCGTCTTCCTCTCGGTCTCCAATCTGTAATAATAAAAGATTTAATTTTAGTTAACTCTCTGTATATAGCACAGTAGCATCGTGACTAATTTTATTCTAATTTCAACATTGCGTTCACAGATACAATCAAGTGCAGCGAGAAAGATATTTAAGTCTCTTCGCATTATTCTATGAATACTTTTCTCACATGCGCTGCACTTAATTGTATCTGGTTCTGCATATAGTACAGTAACATTGTGATTTATTCTAATTCAACGTTGTACAATCAAGATACAATCAAGTGCAGCGCATGTGAGAAAAGTATTTATAGAATAAGGCAAAGACATAAATACTTTCCTCGTTACACTTGAAAACTGTATCTGTGATCGCAACGTTGAATTAAAATTACTCACAATGTTACTGTATTATATGCAGAGCCAGATACAATCAAGTGCAATACATGTGAGAAAAGTATTCATAAAATAAAGCGAAAAGACATAAATACTTTTCTCATTGTTCTTGATGATTGTATCTCTGATCGCAACGTTGAATTAGAATAGAATAAGTCACAGCGTTATAATTAACACAAATACAATCATCAAGTGCAACGGAAAAAGTATTTATATCTCTTCATATAATACAGTAACATTTGTGAGTAATTCTAATTCAACGTTGCGATCACAGATACAGTTTTCAAGTGTAACGAGGAAAGTATTTATGTCTTTGCCTTATTCTATAAATACTTTTCTCACATGCGCTGCACTTAATTGTATCTGTGATCGCAACATTGAATTAGAATTACAATGCTACTATATGCAGAGCCAGATATAATAAAATACAGCGCATGTGAGAAAAGTTTTTATAAAATAAAACAAAAAGACATAAATACGTTTCTCATTGTCCTTGATGATTGTATCTATGATCGCAACGTTGAATTAGAATAGAATAAGTCACAGCATTATAATTAACACAGATACAATCATTAAGTGCAACGAAAAAAGTATTTATATCTCTTCGCCTTATTTTATAAATACTTTTCTCACATGCGCTGTACTTTTTATTATATCTGACCCTGCATATAGTAGCATTGTAATTCTAATTCAATGTTCGATCACAGATACAATCAAGTGCAGCACATGTAAAAAAATTTATTATTTATTTATAAAATAAGACAAAGACATAAAAGGTTATGAATTATAAATATACTTACATGAAGCATCTCCGGCAGGATTTTCAGCAGGTCCAGGCCCAGGCCCAGGTCGAGGCTCTTGTTCGCCAAGCTGTCCGGCCTTTCGTTCGGTAGGTCTAGGCCGTCCAGGCCTTGGACTTGGACGTCCACGCCATGCAGGGTTATTAACGAAAACGCCGGCTGATGTGCTGCCCGGCGCGCAAGCCTACGCGCCAGTCTGGGAATCAGTGATGCCAGAAACGGGTCCCGCGGCTCACGGCTCAGCAATGGAAGGGGTAACGCACACAAGCGCGAACCGCGTACATGTGCCACATGTACGCGGCTCGCGCTTGTGTGCGTTACCCCTTCCATTGCTGAGCCGTGAACTGCGGGACCCGTTTCTGGCATCACTGCTGGGAATAAGCCTGTGCGCCAGCTTGCGAATTTGCTTGTGCGCAAGCCTGCGCGCTAGCCGACGC